TACCTTACTGTTAGTGGCACCAGTCCAGGTGTTTCCAGGTTTTACTCGTGCTATTTCTCCATGTTGAGAGTTTGGTGTCGCACATATTGCTAAGCATTCTTATCCTTTTCTCCGATGAACTGAAAATAACAGGAGTGTGTCCATCTCACAAATGTAGAATCCGTCTCTGCAGTCATCTCAACCATCTAATTCCAGCAACAGAAGACAGACAAACTATTTTACCCGCGGAATTTTTTCTCTGGTGCTGTTTTGCGGTGTTAGTAATATGTTGTTGTAACTTGCGTTACTGAGATTGTAACGAGTAATAATATTACCCAAATTTTATTAGTAATGCGTTATATTACTGCGTTACAGCAAAACGTAATATACTACTGTAATATTATTAATTTTGTAATGCGTTACTCCCAACACTGGTTATCATGGCATATGGTTGAACATGCTACTCATGTAATAATGAAAATAATATTGCCGCAAACAACGTACTTTTGTAATATGAAGTATTTACCAGTTCAAAAAGAAAATGTAGGGCAAAAAACGTTCATCAGTTGGTTATTATCTGGATTAGGGATGGGCGATATGGACTTAAAACTATATTTTCTGGTATTTATTGCAATGACGATATCAATTACGATAATTCGTATGCATCCACTGAGAGAGAAAAAAATAGGGTGTTGTGAGCACACACGTAATGTAATGTCGGTTTCATTCATACTGGAAGCTAGAGGGCGCCCTCGCGCAGAAGCTCCACATATGCATCACAGAAGTAATAACTGATGACGTTCCAGGAAATCCCTAATATGGAGAAAAAGACATATGGAGTAAAAAGAAGATAGAAACGCTTAAACTGATCAAACGTAAAGACAAATACACACTTGTGACAATATATGGTTTATCTGTGTTTTTCAAGCCATCTTGGGTATTTTTATAGCATCATATGACCCCTTTAATAATGCAATGCTAATCGACATAGGATTTCTGCCTCATTCTGTGATATGAAACCAGGTCTGGTCACAAAAATAAGTTATTTCAAACACTCGACTGATGTTATAAAGTGAATTTGCAGTAGAAGTATGTCAATAAATCTCTTTGTTGGACAACAGGTTTGTAAACGGGCTCATACACATGCAAAACCTTATCGCACACGTGCTTCTGTAGTAACGGTACATTTATTCATTTGTTTGTCGCACTGTACAGCCCTGACCAAACCAGTTCCAGACTGTAGAAGAAGCTCCTCGTTTAGCGATATATTCTTCCTCAATTTCACGTCCGCCTTCCGCTATGTCACACACAGAAATATGTCAACAACTAGGTTTTATCTAGGTTTTTATATCGCAAGCGATACGATATCGCCCATCCCTAACCTGGATCATGAAAAGTGAACATTAGAGACCAAAATGAAACTACACTACCATCCAAAAGTTTGGGTTCAGTAAGATTTTTTATTTTATTTCTTTTTTTTTTTAAAGAAAGTAATACTTTTATTCAACAAGGATGCATCACATGAAATGATATTTCACAATATTGCTGTTTTTACTGTATTTATGTTCTTTGTGAACATAAGAGACTTTTTCAATAACATTAAAAATGTCGTCGACCCCAAGCTTTTACACGGTAGTGTGTACAGTTGGAGAAAAATGGTTTTCAGAGATATTTCTGCCGTTGTCGCCACTATGCATAAAATGAAATGCACACAATATTTAAATTGCAGAAAGCATTGCTACACAACGTTTACTCCAAATTAAATTTTTTAAAAATCTGGCGATGTGATTTTCTCAGCATAATCAGCCTGCTCAATATAGTTGAGAAGCACAGTGCAGTGTTGAATTGAATAAAACAGCCATGTAAGATGCTCCAGTGTTCAATAAATAATTAAATGTATTTTTATTAATAACTAGAATAAACAATTATTCCATCAAGTTTGATTGTAGGCTGCTTATGGGTGCAACTTAACCATTCAATATAGAATGTGCTATCAGCATTTACAACTATTTTAAACATGTCTCATCCAATCACAATTTAGAGTTGAAAATGCCAATTTTATAACATTAATTAACCCTTGGCTATATAACCAGAAAAAGAAAGTAATTTCAGAGGCAGAGAAAGTTTTCAACATTTTAGTTGCTTTAAAACTTACGAAAACAGATTTTTTTTTCTTCCTGTAGAGAAATGTATCACAGAAATGTATTAAAGGAAATAAAAGGTACATTGTGAATTCCTGTATAGTATAGTAAATGCTGTGTAAATAATCTCTTATTTTTGGTCCTTTCTGGTAGAGTTTGGAAAGACGGATCGCCCTCACTTTGGCTCGATACCTGGACAAAGAAGAGCGTTTTCTTCCACCGCCAAGGTGATTAGCTGTGAGCTATTTCATCAGTGAAACCTCTGAAATCATGTTTTGCTGTAAAACTGATGTTTTTGAGTGTGTGTCCTCAGCATCAGAGTCGTCGTGACTGTTGAGCAGACGCAGGAGGAGATCGAGAAAGCAGCGCAGTGCATTCGAGAAGCAGCAGTGAAGATCCTGAAATGACGAGAGTCACTGACGTGAGATCAGGTGTGACAGAGCCATGATGGCTCGGTGACCTTTGACCCTGAAGACCTCGACTGCACACAACTCGAATGGATGAATTGAACCTGTTTGTATTATATTGATGTTTTCCATACCTGCTGTACAGATAATGTTGATTATTTTAGTCTTCATTTCACATTGAAATAAATGCAGCGCTGGTTCTTCCCGCTGTTTGCAGTTGGTGTGCACCATCAAACCTATTTATGTCTTGAATAATGATGGGAGGTCTTGACTAATCAACAATAAATATGCCATAAAAAAAAGAATAATTATTTTATAAAGTCATTTTTTATATACACTAATATTTACATTCCTGTGTTACCTTTGACCAAAGAGTTGCTTCTTTACACGTGAAAATCATTTCATGGTGTTTATGCACTGCCTACGAGTTGTTTTCTGAATAATGCGGTTATTCTTGTTTCGACTCTTGGTAACTGAATGCATTGTGAGTGCACTGGGTCAAGAGCATGCACACAGTAGTAGAGATATCACATTTGATCTGGGTTTGAATCTGTCATTTTGTTTTCAAATTATATTTCAGGAATAAAACACTTTAAATCGTATCGTTGCACTAGTTTTTATGATCTTTTTCATCTCCAATAATAAATTGCCTACTGAATCATATTAGAAAGCTGCAGTGCCTTCAGTCGTCGCTGGACGTTTAGTGTAACTGTACAAACGTCCACCTTCAACTTAAGGTTCATGTGTGTTTTTGCTGTAAAATCTGATTTTTCTAACGTAAATATGAGAATAACTTTTATATTGTTGGTAATATTTCAAGATGAACACGTACTGGACTGAAGCAGCTTAGCTTTACCTGATTATCCAGACATTATTATTATTATTTTGGTTTTAAATCATGTTAAACTATCAAATATCATCAAGCTTTTAAGTTTTAAGTATGTTTATTTGTTCACTTCTCAAAACTCAATCATTCCCTTCTCAATCATCGACAAATGATATTTATGTAAGTATCCACTATACTTTATTTATTATTATTTTTTTTTAAAGATCTCATTACAAGCTATAAGAATTTCATCTTACTTTTTTGGCAATTTTTGTTAATTTTAGGCCTCTGAATATCCATAAAATGAGCCATAAAATCCTGATATAGCAAATATGATATTCATCAAAACACTTATTTATTTACATTAGTGCTGTCAAACGATTAATCGCATACAAAAAAGTTTGTGTTTACATAATATATGTGTGTATACTGTGTATATTTATTATGTATATATAAATACAAACACATGCATGTATATATTCATGAAAAATGCTATGTTTATACGTTAAATATATTTATATATAATATACAATATAAGAATATAAATATATGCATGTAAATATTTTCTTAATATTTACTGTATGTGTGTGTAATTATATATACATAATAAATATACACAGTACACACACATATATTATGTAAACACAAACTTTATTTTGTATGCGATTGATCGCGATTAATCGTTTGACAGCACTAGTTTATTTATTGTCTAAAGGTTCACTAAACTTCAATTAAAAATAGACTTTTCTTAAATTTTATGTCGCGCTTCACAGTGCTAATATGCTGATTTGCTGCTCAAGAAACTTTTTTTTTTACATTTGTAAATGTTTTAATTAATAAAAATGTTTAGCTGTCTTATTTTAGAATGTGTATGCATTCATATGAAACTGTGTAATGTGCATAATATGGAAAGGAATCGTTGTGCTTTATTTATTTAGTGTTGTTTAATTGTATTTGGTTATTAAATTCTGGCAGCTATGAAAGTATGATCCTTCTTCCACACAGCTGATAATCTCATAAACAGAGATGCAGATACGCAAACCTGTTCCTAGCCCTGTATAATGAAACTGTATCATTCTCTATATTTGTGAATTCTCTACATGTGAATTTGAAATGTGAGAGATGTCTGGTCAGGTTTTAAATGTTGAAAACAAGCATGGAACCAAGCATGGATTTGATCGATTTTAATTGATTTCATTGATTATTGATTTCTTTTTATTATCAATGTTAAAACACTTGCACTGCTAAGTTTTGTGAAGACTGATCATTTTTTTCTGGATTCTTTAATTAATAAAAAATTTTAAAAACAGCATTTATTTGAAATATAAATCTTTTGTAACGACATTTTGATTAAATGAATGCATCCTCGCTAAATAATATTTTTTTCTTTTAATAATTTTTTTCTCTTATTTCACCACTAGGTGTCGTGTTTTTTCAAGGTTTTCAAACTTCTAATCCCATTTCCAATTCACTAATCCTACTATGGCTAGAAATTCCCGATAACCTTCGTGGAGCGTCGTGACACGTGATCTCTTTAATATTCAGTAGCCAATCAACGTTTGCGTTCCAGCGAATCAAGCGGGCCTGCTGATTGAGGCTAATGAATATTAATGAGCTGCGCCTTTGCCGTAGTAGGATTCGCAAATTCGCTTCCCTCCCTCTCGATGGATCCGTCCTACGTCCCGAGGAGCTGGAGTCACTCGCTCACTTTTCCATCAGGAGACTTTGGGACGCTTGAACGGGATCAGCGGCGGTCGACGAACACCTTTCGACTGAGCGGGATGAAACGCGCTATTCTTCTGCAAACGAACCATCAGAAAGAGTTTCATTCACTGCACACTTGAGACAAAACGCGCTTTGTTCGCACGCGCAGAACTCGCTTATCGCTCGTGGAGAGGTCTGGAAGTTTAAACGCACTGATTCCCGAATCCAGCTGCATCCCAGGAAGGATGTACACACTGAGGATTACAGCCAGAACTCCTCTATTGCTGCTGTCCATCCTCCTCACAGCGTTCACACACGCAGGTAACACTTTCTGCGTTTATTAGGAGCTTTCCTTAAACGGGATGTGAACGCTCTGTTTGTGTGCTTGGAGAAATAACATTGTGAGATGGGAAGAATTAATTTTATTTATTTATTTGAAGAGTCTCTGCAAAAATACAAAGTGTTTTTGCTGTCCAGCACGCTTTTCATGAAGTCTAAACATCAAGTTTATTCAAACCATCCAACCAAAGAAATGTTTCATTAAAGTTGGAGTCAGTTTTAAAAGTAATTGAAGTAGCCTAAATGTTGCATTCCAGTTCCGTCTTTTGGAAAATGTGAGATGATTTATTATCATATGCATATGCGTTTGGTCATATTTCTGCACAGTTATTGAATACATTCTAAGCAGATCCAGATCATTTTATGTAATGCACCTTTGCTTCGCTTTGATATAATTAAGCACCGTTTCTGGTTGTAACACCTTTAAAAAAATCAAGTTCAATCAGTGTTACACCAGAGCCATCGGGTTTGTTTGTTGAAATTGGCTGTTGATAATCAGATGCATATTTTGGGAGTGATTTCTTGTTAATTCATTTCCATCCCTGCAGGGAGGAGGTGACAGATGTTCAGATTTCCTGTTTTGAATTTGCGCTATTTTTTTTTGGCCATTTGGCTGGAGTTTAAAGGGGGATGGGACGTTCCTGGTGTCTCCTACCAACTTTATCACCCTGTGCTAAACTCTGAGATTGTGGGCCTGGAGCAGTGGAAGAGCTGAGCTCATTATTAGGGATGGGCCATACCCCTTATTTTGTTTTCGATACCGATATTTTTCAAAGCAGTATCGTCGATATCGATACTGATTCGATACTTCTGCACTAAACTTTTAAATTATGACATTTATGAAATTATTAAATTACTAAGAGTAAAATGGGTAATGAAAACCACTTAACTTTATGTGCCGTTCCCAAAAGCTTTAATGCTTTCTTATGATACTTTTGGGAAACGCAGCCCTGTTTGAATGCACTATCAGCAGTGAGTGAATGCTCTCTGTGATTTATTGGTTCTGTCTTGCAACATTTGCGTGTGTTCAGATGAGCAGGGAAATAGTTCTATCCTACACAATTACTCGCTAACAAAGGTTATTTGTCCAATTCAATGCATATTGTACGCATTATTATTATTATTATTATTATTTTTGTTAAATAAACAAAACCACTGGTAAATAAAATGCACCTTAGTATCGATATTTTTTGTTTGAGTATCGATACTTTCGATACTCGCGTCAGTATCGATATATCGATACGCCCATCCCTACTCATTATTGATTAGGCGTTCCTGCACGCACAACACCACGTGACTGATTCATGTTCATCAGTCTCGCGACTTATTGTTGGTCTGTAAGTGTTTGAGTACGACTACTACTTTCACCTCAGGCTTGAACGCTGCAGTTGTGAATTTGCGCGTTTGCAGTGTAGACGGCTTAGGGTCGTTCACACTGAACGCGTTTTTTGCGTTTATGAACGCGAGAAGTAGGACAGTGGAATAAAAAACAAGAGATGTACAGATGCTTTTTCTAAATTAATTAATGTATTAAAGCAACGGGGTTTTAGAACACCGCGTCAGAAATGCGTTCAGTGTGAACGGCTCAGAATGGGAACGTTTGAAAAGGGGGCGCATGCGCAATGAGTTCTTGTTTTTATTTAAAAATTGGTTGTAAACATTGACAAATAGGCTATAGTTAAAAAAAAAAACTAAAAGTGAAAACATAGAAACAAAGAAAGTTGGACAAAACAATACAATATTTAAAAATATTAACATTTCGCAGGTTTCTTATTTTTCGAACTTAATCTTGTTTTTAGGTATTATTAAACTTCTGCCTTCAAAACTGTCTGTGCTTGTAATGCACATTGTTTCATCGTGACATTAATGTTTATAATTTCTTAATAGGGTATTACAATTAACTAAAACTGTAACTAAATCAAAACTATAAAGGATAGTCGTTATTTAAAATATAATTTTTTTTATTTCTTTGTATTTTTGTTTCGCAAAACTTAACAACAAAATTACTAAAACTTTATAATGAAAACATAAAACAAATATTCAGAATATTAAAGGGGTCATATGATGTTGCTAAAAAGAACATTATTTTGTGTATTTGGTGTAATGAAATGTGTTTATGCGGTTTAAGGTTCAAAAACACATTATTTTCCACATACTGTACATTATTGTTTCTTTTCTATGGAAAACCCGGCATTTCTTAAAAGCTGAAGAATTCCAAAGGAACTCTGTTATTTTGACAGGAAAATAAAACAAAGAATATCGTTTACATGTATCACATCAATTCTGCATGTTATGTAAGACTCTCTTGCTCTCTCACTTTGCGCGTGTGAGAGAGAGCGTCAGCGAGTCGTGCGCCTTCACGGACATAATTTAGTTGCCCAGAGTGAAGATTGTCGCATATGCGAGTGATTTACTCGCAATGTAGAGGGTTGCACTGTATGTGAATGTAATGTATGCAGATGAAGTTGGATTCAATATATGTAACCCTGGAGCACAGAAGCAGTCTTAAGTCGCTGGGGTATATTTGTAGCAATAGCCAACAATACATTGTATGGGTCAAAATTATAGATTTTTTCTTTTATGCCAAAAATCATTTGTATGTTAAGTAAAGAAATAACATTTTAAATGTCTTTACTGTCACTTTTGATCAATTTAATGCACAAATTGCAAAAACAATCTCAATTAAAAAAAAAAAAAAAAAAAAGGACCCTTATGACTGGTTTTGTGGTCCAGGGTCACATATACAACTTCATAATAAAGAGCAGTGCAATAATAGAGGTTACATTTTGCGATGATATTATAAACAATCAAAGTGTCAGTGTCCAATTTAAAAATGTGTAAATTTTTGCTGGGAAAAAAAATGGCTCAAACCAGCCCAGCTGGTAGGCTGGTTTAAGCTGGAAGGAGCTGGTTTTAGCTGATCTCCCAGCCTAAATAGCTAAAGAAGTGGTCAGAACCCCTTTAAAACCAGCCTGCAGACCAGCTATGATCAGCTAAACAGTCTGCATTGGTTACGTTCGGTTGAGTCTTCATCATCCGCTGGATTGTCATTGCTCATCTTCAGTCTTGTTGGGGGTGGCTGTGTTTCTGCTGTCCGCAGGAGGTTCAGCTCTTCTGACTCACACTTTCAACCATCAAAAAGGTGCCCATTGACATGCTAATTGCTTCACTTGCTAATAAGAGTCCCTGAAGCCACAGACAACTGAATCAGCTTCAAACAATGCAGAGTAGTGGGCTTGTGTTTTCAAATAGTCAAGTCTTTATTTGCAGATCCTTCGCTGTAATGCCTTCTCCTTTGAGCTTAATGCCTGCTCCTTTCAGCCGTTTGCATATTTACACTTTCGAGTTTTTGGAAGTAAATGCTGAATGAATGTGTTGATCATTAAAAAACAAAAGGGGTTGTTGTAAGGCAGGGGTTTTAAACTATTTTCAAACCCCCTCCAAATATCACGATGACCCCCTTTAGAAGGAACCCTTTTCTAAAATATAAAGAGGAGAGGAGAAATTTACATGGACATGCTTGTAGAGTTACCCAGAGTTCAGTCAGTTAATGCAGAGCTGACCAGGGCAAGAGGAAAATCTTCAAAGCGCCCGTCATTAAAAAAAGGGCGCAGTAAGGCAGCTGATCCTGTAATACTTTTGGAAAGAGCCAGTTTAGCCAAATGAAATCCAAATTTCTATGAAATCCTTTTTTGAAAGCAAAAGTAAAGTGCAACATAGAGTGCAAGCAGCAAGTGTCCATCTCATAGTCCAAATCACTGAAATCAGAGTTCAGTATTATAGAGTAAGAATGACAACATGTCCACGTGTTCTAGTCTACTAATAATACAATTATAAAACACAACATTTATCCATTAGTTTGATTTCAAATCCAAACAGTCACTGAAAATGCTTTTTAGCATGGACTGTGCTTTCACAGTGCTTTTTTTTCACATGGCAAAAAGCCATATGTGTTGACTGTGAAACACAGTAGACTTTAATAGTATGCCTTTATGCTGTAATTACTACATTTTCGTGTCAATCCATGTTCATATTTACTGCAAACAATGCGCTGTTACTTTAATTCAGGCTTGCAGCGCAACAATAGACTCGGTGTGGAAACGATCCCTGCACTGCTGCAGACGCACCGCTCCTAAACGCACTGCCGGACCGCAACCATGTGCAGTGTGCACGCTTTATTGATCCGTTAACATGAGCACGGAAAAAATACGCACCACGTATGCACTGCAAACGGAGTAATGTGAACCTGGCGTTATGTGTGTGCGCTGCGAGTGTGCATGAGCGCACGGTCTCCAGGAGAGCGCGCGAGCGCTGAATGGTTAAACACTGGCAAGAATTAAAAAGAAATGCAATTTCTAAACTTTAGTGACGATGTGACACTGCCTCGACTGTGCAAGTGACAATTCCTGTGTCGACTGTGCAGCTCGCTTATAGACAGACACAGTGTGGTGATTTGAAGACATTTGCGTATTTTGAGAGAGAAAGGCTTTTAGAGACCGCCGATCAATCATCCCATCGTGATTATCGGCCGATAGTGATCGGTAGCCGATCAATCGGAGTACCCCTAAACAAAACTGTGTTTCATATTTTGATTCAGGTCTATGACTAACACGAACAAGACGTTTATGGCTTTTCCTGTGTAATCTTTAACATATTACTGCACTCTTCCTTCGTTCTCGGCCTGGAATGCTTGCATTTTTAAGCATGAACCTGATTCTAATGGAAAAAGAATCGCCCGTGAGCCATTGATTTGATACTGGTTATTTAACCACATTAAATCAAAAGGATTTTTTTGTGCAACTCTCATGCATTTTGATTTAATGTGTAAGGAAATATGACTAAGCAGTTTGTTGTTCTCCTAATTTTGCTGAGTCAGATTTTTGGCATAAAATGAACCAGACGTTTGTAGCCTATTCTGTATGTAAGTGCTTACCTAGATAAGAAGCGGCTGTCTGTAGGTTAGAACATGAAAAAATAAAAGT